AGCAAGGGATGGCTTCTTTGGGACCCATTCACCAAGAAGTTCTTGGTGAGCAGGGACTGCAAGTTCATGGAGAACTTCATGTACAAGGATTGGAAGGCGGAGAATGAGGCGAAGATAGGCGTGCGGTTTGGGGAGGTGAAGAGTTCCGGTTTGGAGCATGTGGAGCTGCCTTTGGAGCTGAGCAGCGGCAGCACAACCACAAGGCAATCCTCCCTTGTGAATGGGGGAGAGGAGGCCAATGATGCAGAGGAAGAAGAGGAGGAGGTGCAGCAAGTGAGCGAGCGTGCACCGTCACTCCCTTCCCGTACTACGAGTGCTCCACGGATTCGAGCCACACCGCAGCAACGCCAAGGCCTTCAAGTCCCTGCAGCTGAGGAGGAAGGAAGGGGGAAGAGGAGAGTTCAACCCCCTAATAGGCTGACCTATGATGCGCCGGGAAAGCAGGGCAAGACAGCCCTGGCCGGAGCGGCAATGATGGTCGGAGACGACGAGGAGAGTGACTACGAGGAGTGTGCCTTCGCGTTCTTCTCTCCGGTGGAGATGCCGGGAGAACCAGCAACTCTCAAGGAGGTCTTGGAGAGTAGTGATGCTGAGGAGTGGAAGAAGGCCATGGAGAGTGAGCTGAAGAGCATCGAGGAGAATGACACGTTTGAATTGGTGGAGCTACCGGAGGGGCGTACGGCGATAACGTCCAAGTGGCTCTTCAAAATCAAGTCGGATGCCGACGGCAAGATCGAGCGCTACAAGTCTAGGCTTGTAGCCAAGGGGTACCAGCAGAAGGAGAAGGTGGACTTCAAGGAGCTGTTTGCCCCTGTGGTGAAGCCGACGACGCTGCGAACCCTATTCGCGGGAGCCGCCATCAAAGGATGGGTAGTAAAGCAAATGGACATCGTAACGGCATTCCTTAACGGCATCCTTGAGGAGGAGATTTTTATGGCGCAGCCAGAGGGGTTTGATGATGGTAGTGGCAGAGTGTGGAAGCTGAAGAAGGCCCTCTATGGGCTGAAGCAGGCCCCTAGGCAATGGTACATGAAGCTGCGCGAAGTGTTGGAGGGGATCGGCTTCACTCCCTCAACGGCCGATCACTCCTTGTTCATGCTTGGCGAGGGGGAGCAGAGGAGTTTCATGGTGGTTTATGTGGATGACATCCTCATTTTCTCACCCTCTTCTGACCTTGTGAAGGAGGTGATGCTGAAGCTTCAAGACAAGTTCAAGTGCAAGGCCCTTGGTGACGTGAGCTTCTACCTTGGGCTCCACATCGAACGAGATGTGGAGAAGCGGTGCATGCGGGTGCATCAACGAAAGTACCTGGAGGCATTGGCTGCCAACTTTGGGCAGAGTGAAGGCCATGTGGCTACACCCTTTCCCTCTGGGTTCAAGTGTGTGAAGGGACCAGAGGAGGAGAGCGTTGGTGAAGAGGAGAGGCGCCGATTTCACTCGTTGGTGGGCAGCCTCATGTATGCGGTGGTAAACACCCGACCGGACGTCGCGTTTGCTACCGGGCAGCTGGCTAGGGTTGTGCAATGCCCTAATGAGGAGCAGGTAGCAGCTGGAATGAGGGTGGCCAAGTATCTTGGCCAAACACCGACCGTTAGGCTGCAATACTCGGCGGCGGCACAAAGGCGCCAAAAGGGCGCGGATGGTGTTGAACCCGGGCGTTTGTTCCTCACCGCCTACTCGGATGCTTCATATGCATCAGAACCAGAGGACATGACAAGTGTGGGAGGCTTCATATGCTGTGTTGGTGGAGGCCCAACTGCTTGGGAGAGCAAGAAGCAGGTTGACCAAGCTTTGAGCTCGGTGGAGTCCGAGTACATGGCACTCTTCCGTGCCGTACGGGAGATTGTGTGGCAGCGGCGTTTGTTGGCTGAATTGGGGGAGGAGCAGCAAGGACCTACCCCACTGTACTGTGACAGCCAGGGTGCCATTGCTCTTGCTAAGAACCCTGTGTTGCATGGACTCACGAAGCACATGAGGGTGAAGTGGCATTGGACGAGGAGCATGGTAACCGCGGGTGAAGTTGAGTTGCGCTACGTGAAGACCACGGGGCAGCCGGCTGACATGACGACCAAGAGGCTGGTGGAGCAGCAGCATTGGAAGTGTTGCAAGCTGGCTGGGATGGCTCTGAACTGAGAGAGCAACATATCCTAAGGCCAACAATCCGAGGGGGAGTTTGTTGGTGCAACCCTACGGTTTGCACTCGGCTTGTTGTCCGTGTGCGTGAATGTGTGTGTGTATGGAATGGTATGAGGGCATGGGATAATATATATTTCATGCTTATAATTGTGTGTGAATGTTGAGTCATGATGTCGAGTGTGTGTGTCGAGTCAATAGCGAGTTATCGCTAGACGCGTGTTATGCGGTCGTTTGTGTCTCGCGCGCGGTTTCTATTTTGTCGTGCGCGGTTTCTATTTTGTCCTGTGTCGAACGTTCGGCGTGTCGCAGGTGTGTGCAGCAGACCCATCAAGAACTCAAGGATGAGTTTGTGATGAAGAGCCCGAGCCTTGGTGTCAAGCCTCAAGTGATTTCGAAGCTTGCCAAAAGGGTACACCTCAAGATATTGAAGATAGTTACATTACTTTGTGTAGTGTAACATTTCACTTGGTGTAGGCGCTAGTGAAGGGTAGTTTCGAGACCCTTCGTGGTTGGGGACAGTGTGGCACTGTTCCACATCACTGTACCTCGGCTCTTGGGGTTTGTAGGAGCTGGGAGTCATTCCCAACTCGTAACTCTTCCTATCTTGTGTTCTACGACTATAGTGGCTGCCATAGTACCGTTCGTTCAAACCGACGCTGTGTCGTCAATTCTTTATCAAATCGTGCAATCTAAATTGCTAATTGTAGATGACGTAAAGACGCTCCAGATCCAATTTGAATCAAGTCATTTGCAGCTGTGAGCAAAACGCTATCAACGTTTGAAGCCGCTGTACAGAAATCCGTCTGTGCTCTCTATCTTTCGTTTTAGGCACATTCAGGCCTATTGTGACTATAACATCAATGCTCATCGGAGTTGGAAACATCTGGTTAAGTGACAAGACGGCAGCATTAACACGTTGTTGAAGATTTGCTGGTTGGTAAGCACCTTGATATTGGTAAGGTCCAGTCGGAACGAAGTTAGACTGTTGTCCCGGTTGACTTGAAGAACCAGGGACTGCAGCTGCAGCTGTTGAGGCTGCTGATGCTGCTGTTGCGGCTGCTGCTGTCGATGATGCCGCTGCTGTAGTTGTGTGTACGGGCTGACTGCTCAATGGCATGCCGTACATCGGTTGTTGCTGATATTGTTGTTGTTGCTGTTGTTGTTGCTGCAGATGTGAATTATCAGCAGCTGGAGACGCTGTTGGGCGTGATGGGCTCGTAACAGAAGAGCCATTGTTGGACCTTGGAGATCCAGACATAGTTGTAGAGTAGGCAGGTGGAAGCTGTTATAATCCTAAGTTGCTCTCATACCATGTTAGAATTTGAACTGTTTGAATAGGATCGTAGTCTTAGGATGGTAGCTTCCTGTCGTAGCGGAAGTCTTATATGAGTGACTTGTAACAGGATCAATGTCTCTGAAATCAAGTATATTATAAAATGACAAGCATACAGAATATATAGCTAGACTAAAGTACTTGTTCGCCTACTGTGCTGTATTTATTCGCGCTATTCCTGTTCTGAAACGGTACGTGACTATTCGCGATACCTACAGCTACTGCTGACGTCATCCTAGGGCGCGTAGCGCTTTGCTGACGTCAGTCTATCGGTACTTTTACTGTACTAACTATACTACACGAATTCCTTGAAGTGCATAAACCTCGATATTATCTCCACAAGAAGTCTATGCCGTCAAAACACAAACTTGTCTTTATTCTTTATATGCTCAAAAACCTTGATTGCGCAGAGAGAATTGATTCTTTGCTGGGACAGGGAGTCTTGGGAGTTGAACCATTTGTGTCGAGGGAGAAGGTGTGCGGGGCTGTATTGTGGCCGTTCGAGGCCAGTTGAGAGGGTTGGGAAGAAGTTCCCGCGTCGCCATTCCGCAATGTTTGGAGTCCTTGCTCCAAGCTGGTGAGTCGCTGAAGCAGTTGTGCGAGGACGGCGGTTCCAATCGTCGTCGTTTCTTCGCTCGTCGCGGCCAGGTTGGGCTGTGCTTCAGTCTCAGATTCGTCTGACCATGGCGGGCCATTCTCACGCGCGGGCGTGTGCCAGACGCCACTTTCCGTTCGCCGAAGATTTCGGAGGTAGCAGTGCGAAGGATTCCCGAGTCTCTCTCATACCATGCTGCAATCAGTTGTAGATCGTCCCTAGGATCACCTCAGGAAGGTTCGCAGACGACTGTGTAGTGGTGGTGGGCCATTTACCTCAATAACAGAGTGGATATAGAATGTTTGAGATGATAAAAACATGCAAATACAGGAATATAAATAAGAGTACAAGGGAATTCGAATCGACCTAGGCTAGCCATGTACTATAAGGGGTACATTCCCTTATTGCAGCGAAACTCAACCGTGCCACTCCAGACGGTTACGAACTGCCTGGGCAGAATCCTCGCCACTGCTGCTGCCTGATGCTGTCTGCCCGACGGTCCAGATCCTTTCGTAACCGTACGACCCTTCACGTCACTTCCATCTTTTCGTCTTCAGCCTTGGTAGTGCGTGCTTCGATTGCTGCAGTAAGGAGTGCACAGTAGTGCTTCATCTTTTACTATTCGTAACACTGCGAACTAGTTAGCTTTGTACAAACTTTGACACTTTGGGGAGTGCTGTTGCAGCGAAAACGAACATTATAAATGCAATAACCATACATTAAAAACGATTAAGATCATAATAAACAATGTCAAAGCACACATCCTATATTAGCCTAAGATAGGAAGCCTGCATATGGTACACCATCACAGGCAACCTTTTCATTCCTGTCAAGGAATTAGACACACACGCACACACCCATTCAGGCCTGCACTCATCATCCTTGCCATCTCCAACCCATGTCATCACCAAATCCCATCATTCAGGTTTGCTGAATCTACTTGGCCTCACCCTCCCCCATGTCAACATTGGCCTCTGTGTGGGGTGGGCCAGCAGCAGTGGCGCCAAAGGCGGGGGCGCTGCGCTGCTCGGTGCGCTCCTTGTGAGGGCTGTACGGATGGAAGCGGTGGCTGCTCTGCTGCTTGTGCTCATACTGCCGCGCCCGGTGCCTCTCGCTGTGCTTGCCTGCCCCATCACCACCCACGCTGCGCATTAACCGCGCCGTGATATCGCCGGGCCCTTGCTCCCTGCACCGCATCTCCATGCCTGCAGCGCTCTCTGTGTTCCATGGGTGCCGTGCGTCAGCCTGTAAACGTGCAGCAGAGGAAAGGGGGAGCAGAGGAGAGAGGGGAGAACAGAGATGAGTGGAATGAGAGAATGTGAGAGGCACGGGGAAGTGAGTGAAGGGAACAATAGAGAGGGGCGGCAGAGAATGAAGGGGAAGGGGCACATGGGGCACACCTGCAGCAAGACAGCTGTCTTTCTCTCTTCATCACCCATTGCATCGTCCTCGCCACCACCGCTCTCCCCTCCCCTTCCTCCACCCCCCGCCTCCTTCCCCTCCCCCTCCCCCCCATCACTGCTCTCCCCCTTGCTGCACTGCACCATCCCCCCATACCCCTCCCCACCCTCTCCAGACCTCAGGCTCGGGGTTTCCGGGCCTGAGGGAGCGCTAAGGGCGGCAGGGGGGGCGGCAGCAGAGGCGACAGCTTCGACCTTAGCAGCGGCTGCGATGGCAGCCGCAGCGGCAGCAGTGGTGGGTTGCTTGGAGGAGGCGGGGCGGTGCTTGGCACTGCTGCCGGCGCTGTGGTAGTGATAGTGGAAGTGGTGGTGCACACCTGCTCCCCCACTGTTGCTGGACGATGGGTCACCCGTGGGGGACGACGGCAAGGGCAGGGATGGACCCACCATGCGCATGCCTGCTAGCAGCGACGCCGCGCCGCTGCTGCTCGCTGCCTGCTGCTGCTGGTGTTGGTGCTGGTGTTGGTGCTGATGCACGTGCTGCTGCTTCCTGTCAGTCATCCATTCCTCTCCCTCACTACTCTCGTCCCTCCCATGCTTGCGACTCTCCTGTCGCACCGCCTCCCCACTGCTCGATGCCCGCTTCTCCTTGCCTCTCCACTGATGTCTCATCTCGCCCTGCTCCTTCTGCCCTCCCACCTCCGCTTCCACTCTCACCGCCGCACGTGCCTCCTCTCGCTCCTGACCCTTCACGGCCTCACCACCACCGTCACCACCATCACCACTACCGCCACCAGCGACAGCGCCAGCAGCAGCGGCAACCGGCTGAGGGCCTTCCCCCTGCGCGACCCCACACGCACGTGGGGCCGCAGGTTTGGAGGGGGGAGGGGGGAGGAGGCGAGGAGGGGCATGTGGGGGCGTCACCTTGGGGGGGAGGATGGGCAGCGGTCGGAAGACGGACTGGCCATCGCCTCTCAGCTCGCGGCGCCCGGCGCCCACCACTTGAGACGTTTCCGTGCGCCCGGGCCGAGCAGCACTGCCCCTTGCTTCATTCGCCGACCCCTCCTCGCCCTCCTCGCCCTTGCGCGCACCACTCGCTCCTCTGACCACCCCAGCACGCTTCTTCCCCAGCAGCTGCAGTTGCTCCAGCCCGTCAGCAGCGTTGGTGTCGCCACCACCCTCCTTGTGCTGCTGGCCCTCGGCACGCGTGCCTGCATGGCGGGCGTCCAGCCCGAGCAGCAGGGCGTGCGGGGTGGAGAGGCTGAGGGGCGTGTGCGACCTGCTGCCTGCAGTGGGCGCACTGCTGCCCTGAGGCGCCCCACCCACCACGCGCGAGCACCCCTCCTCGCCTGCACCCACTGCCACCACCTTCCTCCGCTTGGCGCTCCTCTCCTCAACCGCAACACCTCGCTCCATCTCATTCGCCTTCTCCTCCTCCGCTGCCCTCTCTGCCTCCATCGCTTGCCCACCAGCACCGGCCTCTTCGTTGTTCGAATCCTTCTGGCCACGTTCTGCATTCATCTCCTCCTCCTTCTCCTCAACGTCCTTCCCATCGCTCTCCCCACCAGCCTCGCCGCCAGGGAGTTGTTTCACGGCGCTCTTGGCAGTCGCACCCTCCTCAGACACGTCTCGTTCACGGCGCTTGCACGCCTCGCGCTCACTCGTGCCGCCATCACTGGAACCGCCCAGCCGCTCCCTGCCCGCCTCGTTGCCGCATTCAGACGAGTTGGAGCTCGGCCCATTCTCCCCTGAGCCCTCAGGCCCGCCCCCACCCTCGTGCTTGGTGCCGCTTCCACTGCCACCGCCGTTGCCGTTCTGCCCGCGACTGCCCGAGGACGATGGGGTGGCGCGCACCTCCCCTTGCTGCTCTGCTCCCTCTCCACCCGCTGCTGCCTCCCCTGCACCGCCTTCGGCCGGCACAGGTGTGTCGCCGGAGGGCAGAGTTTGTCTGGTAGTGGGAGGCGGAGTGTTGCTGCCGCTGACGGAGTGTCCGCGCAGTCGCTTTCTCCGCGGCCCCTCGTTCTCTCCGGCCATTCCTACACCCTCTTTCCCTCCTGCTCCCTCGCCTCCCCCTGCTTTCGCCCCCTCGCCTTCTACTCCCGCAACTCTCCCTTCTCCTCCTCCGCCCAGCCCCTCAGTGGCGCCCTCGTTCCCTTCCCCGCCACTGCCCTCCCCTCCGCCGGAACCCGCTCCCTCTCCGCCCATGCCGGGCCCACACGCGCTCATCTTCGCGCTCGCTTCGTCAGCCGCCGCAGTCGCAGCGCCAGTGGCGCTGGCGGCGGCAGTGGCGGTGGTGGGGGCAGCGCTGGCGTGGCGGACTTTGAACTTCTCGAGCGAGCGCAGCTTGCGGATCAGGTTCGACTGCTCCCTCTTGTCCGCTGCTGCCGCGCCCGCTGCTGCTGCCGCCGCGGCACCACTCGCGTTCAGCCCTCTGCGTTCCGCGTGAGCTTGCCCATGGCCATGGCCATGGTTGTGCGTCGGTGCATGTGCATGTGCCTGTGCCTGCTCATGCGCCTGTGCATGTCCTCTGCGCCCTCTTTCACGTGGCAGTCTCCACTTCTCCTGCTTCGACACGGCAGCGGCAGCAGCAGCACCAGCCATGGCAGTGGCAGCATTCACAGCAGTGCCACCAGCACCACCACCAGAGTGCTTGTCGGCGGGGCTGGCAGGCAAGCCAAAAGGCCGAGTGGCTGCAGCTGCGGCGGTAGCAGCGGGGTGGCTGCGTGGGAGCAGGGGAGCGGAGCAGCGGGCGTTGTTGCTGCTGCGCTCCTTCTCGCCTGCTGCCAGCGCCACGTTATGCGGCAGGTCGCTCGGCCTCCTGTGCGCCTCCTTCTGAGGCGTGTGCACGTGCCCGCCATGACCGTTGGAGGTGTGTCGGGGCGCGTGGGCGTGGTGGGGCGGGGTGGAGTTGGAGGCCCACACGGAGGGCGACGAGTCAGTGCACGGCCCCATGCCGCCCTCAAAGGGACTCCTCCCCTGCCCACCCTCGCTGCCCCTTTCCCCCTCCCTCTGCTGCCCCGTGTGCTGCTGCGATCGGTGCCCGTGCACGAGCGGCCTCGCATCCCCTGCACTCCGCGCCTTGCCTGCCTCCCTCTCCGCCTGCGCGTCCCCCTGGCCCTGCCCGTGCCACGACGCGCGCCGGCCACCCTGCTCCGCGCCCGTGCTGGAGTCCAGCGCCTTGCTGGCTCCTGTCGGCGCGGACGACCCCACCACCGTCTGCTGAGACTCCTGAACGTCCACATCAGCGTCCACGTCAGCATCCACGTCAGCGTTGACGCCTTGCAGCATGGCAGCGAGCGCCTCTCGCTCGCTGGCCATGAGGCGCAGCTCCTCCTGCCCCTCCACCTCGCTGCTCCTCACCAGCGCCACGAATCCCCCCTCTTCCTCCCCCTCGCCAGCCTCTCCGCCCTCCTCCTCCTCCTCCTCTTCCTCCTCCTCCTCGTCGTCCGCGCGCGCATCGTCGCCGTCGTTGTCGCCGAGAGCGTCGTCGCCGCCCTGGCTCTGCGACGCGCTGTACGCCGTGTCGTTCGCCTCCGTCTTGCCCTGCGCGCCCTCGGGAATCGCCTTGCCCGACGACCCCTCGCCCCCGTCGTCCCCTGTCTCCACCGCTCCCGCCATCTCGCACTGCTGCTGCTGTTGCTGCTGCTTCTGTTGCTCGGTTGCTGCAAACGTGGCGTTGGCAAAGCCCGCCTCCGGAGCTGCAACAGCAGCGACAGCTCCGGCAGCCGCACCTGCCGCGTCAGTCCCCGCGCCTTCACCATTCCCTCCGGCCTCCACCTCCCCTGCGCCCGGCCACCCAATCTGCATGGCAGCGGCGCCAGCAGGGAGAGGCGGAATGCCGTTGAAGGGGGGGCGGAAGGCCTGCGCGGACGACATGGGGAGGAAGACGCCGGGCGGCATGGAGCCCTGGAGCGCCCACCACGCAGATGCCGCCGCCATGGTGACGGCCATAGCGGCTGCTGCAGGGTCGTCGCCCGCTGAAAGCGTGCGCGGGGGCGCCGGCGGCGATGCGAGGCGCGCATCCACCGGGGCGGCGCTGGCGGCGACCGCGCTAGCAGCAGCAGCAGCAACAGCAGCAGCACTCGTTCCCGCGGCAGCAGGTGTGGTGGCAGGTGCAGCTGCTGTTGCGAACTGTGGAAGGCCAGCGGGAGGACCTCCAGGTGCGCCTGCCTCCACGGGCTTGGCAGGGCTCTCCACCCCACCTGCTGCAGCCGGAGCTGCGAAGAACGGCGCCGAGCCTGCTGCCATTCCAGCAAGATTGGGCCACATACAGGCAGACGCAGCAGCTGTGGCGGCAGCGGCGACACTGTGAGTACCAGGCAACTGCTGCGGACGGCACGGTTGCTGCTGCTGCTGCTGCTGCTGCTGTTGTTGTTGTTGTTGTAGTTGCTGTTGTTGTTGCTGCTGTTGCTGTTGCTGCGGGCGCGGGGCGTGCCAGGCGGCGAAGGAGGAGGCGCCCATGGAGGCGAAGGCGGGCCCGTAGATGCGCAGGTACGAGTCAAACGTCTGGAACGCCGCCGCCGAGTGCGGGTGCGGCACGGGCGCGCGGTAGGGCGAGAGCAGGTAGCCCGGGTGGTGCATGGGGTGGAAGCCGGGCGTGTGGAACTCGACGAAGGGGAAGGGCGTCGGGAATAGCATCTGCTGCTGCTGCACTGCCTCCTCGCTCCCTGGCAGGAAACAGCCGGGAAACTGCAGGCCCATTGCAGCAGCTGCGGCCATCTGAGCTGACGCGGCTGCTTCCTGGAAAGTGGTAGAGCCACGGGCTGAAGCAGCAGCTGCAGCAGCGGCGGCAGCGGCACCATAGTCGAAGGGGGGGCGATGGGGAGCGGCGGCAGTGTTGGCGCCGGCGGCGGATGCGGCGGCGGCGGCGGCAGCAGCAGCGTTGAGCATGGAGAGGCCGGCCATGGATGACATGAGGGAGGGCGACCACTGCGATGCCATGGGCACGCCCGAGCCGGACGCCACGTGCGTGGGACTCGCCACACCACCGTCTACCGCAGCCACGCCTGCCCCTTCATTCGCCTCGCCCGCTGCCACTTCTGCCTCCTCCTCTACTCTTCCTGCCACCGCTCCGGCATTTACAGGAGCGGCGGACTTCTCAAGCTGCGGTGGACTGAGCCCCGCAGCATTGGCAGCAGCGCCCGCAGCGTCTGCAGCTGCGTTGGCGGTGGGGAGGGCGGGAGGGGCTTGGGGGAACGCGAACAGCTGGTTCATGTACGGCGCCTGCGCCAGGCTCAGGCTTGCTACCGTGCCAGCGCCAGCAGCCATTGCTGCTCCCGCGCGCGTTGCATCGCCGCCTTGCGCATGGCCGTGGGCCCCGGTAGCAGAGCAGGGAGTGGCGCACGCAGCATCGCGCAGACCGCCAAGCGCCATCGGGTGCGCGCCTGCTGCCGCTGACGGTGCTGCCCCTCCGCGGTCCGCCCGCTGCGGCGCGGGCGGGGGCAGCGGCGTGGCGGCGGGGAGGGGCTCGACGGAGAGCCCCGACTCGAGCACCACGGAACGCTCGGAGAAGCTGCCGCACGCTGACGTGGACACGTCGTGACCCGTCACGCTCATCGATCGCAGCGCGCACTGCGCTGCCGCTATACCCCGCTGCTCCGCGCGGCCTCTTGCGCCTGCCTCCGCCATCCGCTCGCCGTGTGCCGCTGGCGCGGCGTGCGGCCTGTCTGAGAGGCACAGCCCCTGCGACTCCTCCGCGAGCCCGGCAACACTTCGAGGCTCTGGAAGCGACAGCGACCGCGTCACCATGGGCGCACCTTCGTCCGCCTCCTCCTCCCCATCATACTCCTCCTCCTCCTTCGCCTCCTCCTCCTCTTCCTCCTCCTCCTTGAACTCCGGCTTTTGTGTGTCCCAAGCGCCGCCTTCACCCGCTGAGTGCTTGACGCGCCAGTGCTGCGCGCCAGAGGGCGGAGCAAGATCCGCAGGGGGGGTTGCAAGGGAGAGCAGCGGCGGATGGAGCGGCGGCGAGCGCGCAGGGCTGCCGTCGGGAGACATGGAGGCTGCAGGGTTGGTGCTTCGGGGAGCAGGCGGAGGCAGGGGCGCCGACGGCACAGCTGGGGGTGGGGGAGGGGGCGGCATGGCGGGGGGAGTGGCGAGCGTCTTGCCGAAGAGCTTCAGCGTGCTGCGCTGGTCGGGCGACTGCCGCGCGCCGCTGTCGCCCTCCATTGGCGACGAGGAGTACGGCGACACGCACGCGTCGCCGCGAGCAGCGTCGCGCTGAGAGGCGAGCGGCGAGGGGGAGGTGAAGACGGACGGCAGCGCACTGGCCTCCGCCTTGGCGTTGGTCTGCGGTGCGGCAGCGGCGGCGGCGGCGGGGGGGGCGGAGAAGACGTACTTGGACTCCTGTCCGTCGTCGGCGCGCTGGTTGCCGCACGACTGGTCGGACGACACGGGCAGTGCGGACCGCGACGTCTGCGACTGCGTGCGCTGCGAGCTCAGCCCCTGCGACACCTGCCTGCTCGACCGCGGGTGCTGCTGCGGCTCTGATTCCTCTGCCTCTGCGCGCTGCTGCGAGGTTGCCTGCCGGCCCTTGTGATTGCCTTTCTCTCTCGCTACCGCCTGCTGCTGCGCTGCTGCCGCTTGGTTCGCCTGCACACGTTGCTTTGGTTGAGGCGGCGGCGGTAGCGGCTGTGGCAGTTGGAGCTGCTTCATGCAGGGGAGAAGAGCCTTAGGAGGGGGAGGAGGAGGGGGGAGCAGCGACGGAGCGGGCTGCTGCAGCGCCTTGGACAGGCTGTGCTGGCTGTTCTGCCGCTGTGGCGCCTGCGGCTGCGAGCTGCTGGCGGAGCCCGCTTTCCGCGGGTACGGGTGCGCGGGCTTGCGCTTGGGGCGGGGCGGGGGGATCTCGATGTCCATCTGCGACGTGGCGGCGGAGGTGCCGTCGCGCTCCAACTGCGCGGAAGGGGGGGGGGCAGAGCAGCAGGAGGAACGCGTTGGGTATGGCAGCACTGCGGGAAGCTAAGGGACAGAAAAGACTCGGGCGCGGACAAAGGACCACCGCTTATTGCACGTGCTACAGCAGCGTGTGTGGGAAAAGGCGGGAGGTGGAAGGCGGAAGGCAGCCGGTGGGCGGCGGGCGGCGGGCGTACCTTGGTGAAGAACTTTTGCGCGTGGCTGCGGATCTGCACGGCGGTCTTGCTGCCGATGTGCTCTGCAACGGGCAACGCACGCACGCACACACGCTGAGATGCGGCACCACCCCGGGCAAGGCGAGGGCAAGTGCAAGGGCATGGCAAGAGACGAGGGAAAAGGGATGCAATTGGGACAGGGCGAGGGCACGGAAGGGTGTGGCTTGCCTTCGATGCGGCGCCACGCGCGGCCGTAGAGCTTGAGGGCCTCCAGGAACTTGTTGTGCTCGTCCTCCGTCCACCGCTCCCTCTGCTTCGTTATCGTGTACGGCTTCCGCACCTGCGCACCACGCACCACCGTTCCGGTTCACCCATCACCATGCAGGAGAAGTCTACGCAAGCGATTAGTAGACTGACAGGGGGCAACCAGCTACGTGCAGTGCACATGGGGATGACAGCGTGCGAGTATTGGCACCGAGAGCTCACTAATGAATCCTCGTCTTCGAATGCTCGACTGAAATCGACGAAAGATACCTTGGTTGCGAGGTCGCCGTCGTTGCCGGCCCACTCTCCGTTTGCTGGGCCCTTGGTGGCGTCGCCTGCTTGTTGCTCCTGCTGCTGCGACCCCTGCACCTGCTGCAGCTGCGCCGGAAGGGCTTCGTGCTGCTTCAGGATCTGCGTCTCCTGCATGTGCGCCTTGTGCGCACCTCCCAGTAAAACCGAAGGAGGAGGCGGAACGGGAGTCAGGACCGCGACTTGCTGTTGTTGCTGCTGCTGCTCGTGTTGCAGCTGTAGTTGCTGCTGCTGTTGCTGTTGGGCCAGGTGGTGCGCCGCGAGATAGTTGGGGTCGGAGGCGAGCGGCAGGCCAGGGAGCATGCCGGGCTGCCCGTGCATGGCCATCTGCTGGGCGGGGAGCAGCCCCATGTGCGGCAGGGATGCCTGCGAGTGCGCGCCCAGCACCACCTGCGGTGTCGCCATGCCTGGAATCCCGGCCTGCAGTTGGTGCAGCTGGTGGTGCTGCGATAAGCCCGCGTGCGGGTGGAGAGACGGGAAGAAGCGCGCGTGCATCGACAACGAGTTCTGCATCATCGCCGCGCCAGCGGACGCAGCGGCGGCGGCGGCGGCAGCGGAGGAGGAGAAGGCGAGGCCAGCCATGGTCCCCGCAGCAATAGCGTTCGGGGCAGGCGACCGGATGTGACCGGCAGAAATTTGGGGCATGAGGAAGTTGGGCGCGTGCATGGCCATTCCCACATCACCAGGTCCCGGAGTCGCCACGTGCGCGTTGCCGTGTCCATGCGGAAGGTACGACGCTGCAGCCGCGGCGGCAGCGGCTGCAGCTGCGGCTCTCCAGTAAGCAGCGCTTGTGTCGGCAGCTGCTGCATCCTGCATACTCTGGAAGGAGACGACATGCAGAGGACACAAAAAGAGGTAGCAAAGTTAGCGAGTGAGGTATAAACAAGGGGCAGATGACCGCTCTGATATGAACGAGCCGTCCGTCCATCCAGCTGACCAGGCGGATGTCTGACCTTACATAACGACAAGCATAGCGTCACGAGATAGGAGCGTGAGCGAGTTTAATGAAGAACTACATCGACCGTCACTTCGTGCATTCGTAACCTACTTGGTTGTGCTTGCTTAGACAATACGGATGCCTGAATATGGCTTCTTGCCAGTTCACGCAGGTTCCAAATATCCTATGGTCAACACTACTGAAAGAAACTATACTCGCAATCTATACTTTACTGCGTTCTAGGTCATCGAGACGAATCTTGATTCTGACAGATCTAAGAAGACTCTACGAACCTGAAGGTTGAGAGCTGGAGGTATGTTCATCGTGATAGCTCCAAAGCTTGAAATGCGGTGCCGACGGAACAGTGTCTTGCAAACATCAACCTGTGCTGACTCAAAGCTACGAAACCGTCTAAGTTCTTAGGAGAAAAAACATCTCAACGTCTAAAATCTAGGTACATATTGCATTGGAGGCTCAAAGAATCAGTGAGGCCTTGGGCGAGGAAAGCTCTCCTGTGAAGCCTTCTGTCCACAGATATTCCCGATGTTGCTGTGTCTCTGGATATTCCCGAGGAGCCTCTCTGCTGGATGAGGGGAGCAGAGCAGCAAACACATCGACTTGACAACGAAGCAGATGTGCTTGTTGCTAACAGGAGACGGGCAGTGCTAGCCACAACACTTCACAACGGCTACGATGAAGCAACAGGGCACGCTTCCCGCATCTGACGGTAGATAGAGTGATCGGAGAAAAAGTTAAATATCCTCAGTGAGTCTTTAGCCAACGTGGCAACGAAGTGGGTACTTTTTCGCTTTTCTCAAACCCCAGTGTCCACAACATCCCGACCTCGAGCCGCTCGCTCCCCAAAATCAGCGAGCTCAACAATTCTGGCCACAAGAAAACTTGTGGTTCAGGCGCAGTAGTCTTGCGGGAATGAGAAGTTTGGCTTGGATGACAAGGCTAACACCGGACCTCCGTTGAACCACACAACAGTCAACGCAACCCCACGAGGAAACTTGTTGGTTGCTCCCTGTCTCCCAGCAAGCCAAGTGCCGAGCCTTCTTCTTATCCTCCCTAGCCTGAGTTTGGCCTAGAGTAACTTGTGGTCACAAACTCGTCTGGAAAAGGCTGCCATTGGCAACCAGCTCGTTTAGAGGCGGCTCGTGAAAAAGAGCAGGGTAGTGCCGGTGTCAGCGTCACTGCCACGCTGTGCCTGCCACACGGCACTGGCCTTATTCGGATTTGTGCTGACGTTGCACGAAGGACAAGAGCGAGAAAGCTTTCAACTAGCAGATTTTCCGGCGCATCACAACCATACAACAAGATTTCAAGCAAACCTACTGGATGGTTTAATGGTGCACGTCTCGAACCTTTTCACCACATGTCGACTTTTCAGTCTGAGGCAAGCTGGGCAGATGGCCCTTTCCCAGATTCGCGAATCTGTAGTGAGGCTCCCTCAGAATTCTTATCGCCTGTTGAGAAATTTGTGGCTGGCGTGGAGCAGCCTTCAACTTCGGAGCGCCATCAGGCGCATTGCAGTGTACATCATGGAGTGTACTACCTGATGTCAGCTACGATTCAGTTCCACAACACATATAAACACAATTACAACTACCGGTTTGAACAAATACGGTACTTAACATACCGGGATGGATAACAAAAAATCTGAAACAAGCATTGCTGACTGCAGAAAGCTCTCCTTTGGAAGTTCTTCATGCCAATAACTTTATTGTACCAGCATTCCCCCCATGATACCGCTCTATTGTTGCCTCTATTCCCCTCTTTAGAAACTAGTTGACATCTCTCCTCTCTTGCCACCTCCCATCTTCCCTTGGGACGTGTTCCCTCTTGTCACCTCGCCTATCAATTATTGCAGAGCGTACCTTCTTGTCTTCTACTTTCCTCCCCATCATATTGCCACCTTCTCCGTTGTTGCCCCTCCCTCCCCCCATCTCTCTCATGTCCTCACTTCTTGTCTCGTACCCGTAACGTATGTCCTCACGTAGCTGTCATAATAACTGCGCAGGAATTATTGGATTAGCAAGAGTTGGGGTACAAGTACTAACCCTAGAAGTGTTGTACCCCATAAGGAGTGCCCCATTACATCCCACAAGTAAGATTGTACTTTAACACACCCCCATAGGCTACGTGGGGGACAACACGACGGTCACAACACCAGTCAAGCAAGACAACAGAGCAAAGCAAAGCAAAGCTCAGGGTGGATCTCAAAGACACCACACAATCCGAGCACAAGCAAGCGGCCACAAGGCCAGTTCACATGCAGAGTTATAATAGCAAGGCAATACACTGGTAACAACCTAGCAAGAGGAAACATGCTGGTATAAATATAGACAGCAGTGTACAACAAGTGCAAGATCAAGAGACAAGCAGGTGAGGTAGAACGGGCAAAAGCCCAAGAGACGTGCAAAAACGCTGAAGATCACCAGACCCGAGGGCCTTGGTGAAGACATCAGCACTATTGGCCCGAGAGGCCACGTAAGAAAGGCGAAGCTGACCACGCTGCTGCAGCTCTCGAGCAAGAAAATAGCGAAGAGCAATGTGCTTCGTTCTGTGCTCCAGTCTCTGCTCCCGACACAAGGCAAGCATCGCCTAGTTGTCGACGTACAGAACTAGAGGAGAACGAGGCCGCTCCCCCAAGTCGATCAGCAGGTAGGTCAGCCAGCGTAGCTCCTGTGCAGCCATGGCCCCAGCGTAGATATCGGCTTCACATCTAGAACCAAGCACAGAAGAAGAACGAGTGGACCTCCACGAGACAGAACCAAAGCCAAGGCTGAAGGTGTAACCCTGTGACGAACACTGAGTCGCCTGGTCGTCGGCCCAAGAAGCGTCGGAGTGTCCTATGAGTACCACTGAACCCTGTCCTCCAAGCACGAGACTCATGCCCGATGTATTGCACAAGTAACGCAGTACCCTCTCCGCAACATCTAAGTGCACCTTTCGGTGTCTACCGGGAGCCACGTAGCGAGCCAGGAGGCTGAGAGGGTACGCGAGGTCAGGTCGTGTGCACGTCATCAGGTACATGAGGCAAACCACAAGCTCTGGGTATGGACCACTCGGCTCAACGGACTCGTCCGAAGGTGGGGCTGAGAGCGAGTGGCCGGTAGACAGAGGAGTGGGCTGTGGCAAGGAGAACTGGAAGCCGAAGCGCCGAAGGACCCTGTGCACCATGTGTGACTGAGTTAGGGTGATGGTGCGCCGTGCTCTGTCCTGGGTGATCTGCAAGCCAAGACAGCTACGCAGCTCACCCAGCTCAGTGCAGGTGTGTCTCTCCTGTAGCTCCGCCATCACTAGGGCCAGCGCCTCAATGTCAGCAATAGCAAAAACCAAGTCGTCGACATACACGAGAACGTAGAACGGCGGCAGAGTAGTGTCAGTGCGTAGAAACAGCGACGGGTCAGCAGAGGAAGGAGCAAACCCAAGAGCCGCAATTGTAGTCCTCAGTGTGTCGTGCTAGTCTTGGGGCGCCTGGTGGAGACCGTAGACTGGCCGCCGGAGGCTCCACTGCGTACCCGCAGGAAACGACCCAGTGAAGCCAGGTGGGCGGCGCAGCCAAATCTCCTCGTGAAGGCTGCCCTCCAAGAAAGCTGTGGAGAAGTCGAGGGAGTGCAGCTCGTAGTAACGGCGTGCTGCAATGTGCAGCAGCACCCGAATAGTATTTATCTGTGGGGTGGGGGAGAAGGTCCGGAAGAAGTCGACCCCCTATCGCTGACTGAAGCCTCGAGCAATGTAACGTGCCTTGAAGGTAGGCGGAGAACCCGGCGGCCGCTTCACTATGAAAATCTACATGGCATCGACTATGTTTGCCCCAGGAGGAGGAACCTCGTCAACGTAGGTGCATGTGGACTTCCAGGAAGCCATATCTGCGTCCATGGCTGTCTGGTACTGAGAGGAGTACTCACCCGCGATCGCCTCAGCGTAAGAGCGCGGTGTAGGGATGTCAAGTGCATCCGGGTCTCCCGCAGGGCAAAGCAGCATGGATGCAAAACGAGGTAAAGCGGCCGCAAGACACTCAAGCTCAAATTGCTTGTCCTCAAGGACGTCACTGCTAAGGGCAGGCTCATCCCCGACGGACGGAGGACAGACAGACTCATACTCAATAACAAGACTCGCGACGTAGTCGAGACGACTCCTAGCTGCGGATCGGTTGTGAATGAATTTGGAA